TCATAATGTCTCTATAAAAATTACAACCTAAGTCACATAGAGCGAGAACAGGAACGGGAGCGAAAGCGCGAGAGCGGTAAAGTTTAAAATTAGGTGAGAGCGGAAGTGTCATGAGAGCGTATGTACATTTACTAATATATACTATTCTAATTAATGTATTAAAATTTTTATTCATTAAATGTTATATTTTTTTTGTTGACTTTTATACTATAAAGCTATTTAAAATTAATCAGGTATTTATTTATTATTTTGTTCTATTAAGTAAATCTAAGAAGTAGTTATATATTTTAATTATGGAAATGAAACACAACCAAAAGTTGGCATCCTGGTAGACTTTCTTTTTTGATCTCAACAGGTCCTATTCAATACTTGCTGAAAGTTTTTTATAAATAATTCCAACATACTATCATGTTCACAAGATGACAAGAAGCTTGATTGGGGTCAAAATCCAATAAAACATTATTTTGCTCACAAGAGGCGAATTCGGCCCATCTGGCCCAATTCGCGGATTACAAATTAGAATTCACGAACTCAAATTTCGAGTCCGCGAATTTTCGATGAATCCGCTTCAAAAGCATGGATCCGTGCACGGAGCTTGGATTCGTGGGCGAGTGTGACTTAGGTTACAACCCTTTAATGTATTACTATTAAGTGTAATGATTTATTTCTTTTTAAATGTTAAGATATAAACATTACAAACCTTTAGTTTTTTGTCATTACATCTGATTCGAAGTCTCTCCAAATGCACCAAAATTATCTTCCAATTTATTTTAAATTCATTTACAACCCTTATGATTCATATAATTTCCAATTTTTCTTTATAAAAATTCTAATGATGTGTCATTAAATCACCTTATTTAACTCTCACAAATTAAAAATAAGAAGAAAAAAAAAAACATAAAAGAAAATATATATATATATATATATATATATATATATATATATATAATATTCCCACTATTTAAAAAGGAACCCGTTCCTTTCCAAAAATTATAAAGCCTAATTCACATCATTCCAAAAAAAAAAATGTAAACTTTAAAAAAAAGAGTACCATAGTTGTTTAAAAACATAAATAAATAAATACACGCAACAAAAAGAAAAAAAAAATCATACATTTTTTTAAAAAATTCTAAAGCCTAATTCACACAATTCCAAACAAAACAAAAAATTGTAGAAGAAAAAAACAAAAACAAACAAATATTCACGCAACAAAATGAAAAAGGATAAGAAAAACGTAAAAGGTTTTGTTTTTAAAACGCACGCCCACCCACTTCAAACATTTTTGCTTAATTTAAATTTTAAAAAATTATTAACATATATATTAATTACATAATGATTCATAATGTCTCTATAAAGGTTACAACCCTTTAATTTCTTGCTATTAAGTGTAATGATTTATTTCTTTTTAAATGTTACGCTATAAAGGTTACAACCCTTTAGTTTTTAACCATTACATGGAGTCTCTCCAAATGTACCAAAATTATCTTCCAATTTATTTTCAATTCATTTATAACCCTTATGATTCATATAATTTCCAATTTTTCTTTATAAAAATTCTAATGATGTGTCATTAAATCACCTTATTTAACTCTCATAAATTAAAAATATGAAGAAAAAAAAAACATAAAAAAAAAACTATAATATTCCCACTATTTTAAAAGGAGCCCGTTCCTTTCCAAAAATTCTAAAGCCTAATTCACATTATTCAAAAAAATAATAATGTATAAGGAAAAAAAAAAGTACCATATTTGTTTAAAAACAAAAATAAATAAATACACGCAAAAAAAAAAAAAAAAAAAAAAAAAAAAAAAAAAACCATACATTTTTTAAATAAATAAAAAAAATTAACTCACACACATAAAATAAAAAAGAAAAACGAAAAAACGTAAACGAAAAAAAAAATCTATAATATTCCCACTATTTAAAAAGGAAACAATTCCTTCCCAAAAATTTTCTCCCTACAAATTCTAAAGCCTAATTCACATTATTCTAGACAAATAAAAAAAATGTAAAAGAAAAACAAAAGTACGATTTTTGTTTAAAAATGTTACTAATAGTATTTTTAATTATGTGACGGTTCATTGTTCACAAAGTTTCTTAACGGATATTTCTTAAATTATGTGATAGCTCATTATCACAAGGTATGTCGTGTGAGTTACCCTGAATCTAAATAGTTATTTCCGCGATTACCAAAGTGATGAAGCACATCTATTTAGATGAGATTACAACCTTGTTAAAACGATGCATTATGCCTTCTATAACAATGGTGGTAAGAGAGTGCACGGTGGGCATGACAATGACAAACAAAGCAGCAATGTTTACTATAATGAATTTGGCATCCTCATTCTTCTTCCATTTTTCATATTTCAATTCCAACAATTTCTTATATATATATATATATATATATATATATATATATATATATATATATATATACATATATATATCTACCAAGTTATTCATTTTTTATCAACTTAATAATATTTGTGCATTCTCACATATTAGTACTAAAATAAAATATCTCAGATTTTCCCTTCTTTCTCTTTTGGCACCCTCCAATGCAAATTCTTCCTCATGGCTCCTAGGTTATATGATTTAAATAATGCACACATATTCATATGTATCTCCAACCAATTTGTTCCTATCGATAAAATTACTCTATCTAATTATATATAGAAGTTTTGTTACCTGAGATAAAAAATTGAAAAAAATAAAATTTTATTTGTTGCAGGAAATTCTTGAAGATATTTGGATATAAAGGCGTCAAGTACTCTAGCAGCAATATTGGATAAGTTGACTCTCCAACTTTAGCAACAATATTGGATAACCGTAAGCCAGTTCTTACATTTTTGTTTACAATTATTTTTAAGTACTATGATTTATGGAGTAAATTAGTCAATTATAATTAATTGTCAAAAAAAAAGAAGAAGAAATATTAAATACTAAAACTCTTCAAGTAAGAAGAAATATTATCTATGGACAAAATATTGGCATGCAAGTGATTGGTATTTGTGTTTTAAATTCATGATCGAATTTGTGATAGTTATATGTTTACATATTAAATTTTTTTAAAACTGAATAAATTAATTCTCCAATTCTCTCATAAGCCTTTAGGAAGTCAGGCTCCATTTAAGGTGAAACATATTACATCTCACATTGAATATGAATATAACAACTCAAATTTCTTGTTTTCGCTTAAGTTGATTATGTTGTGATGCAATGGACTTTCCATCATTTGTTTTCAAGAAAAGAAAAAAAATATGCAAGGTTTAGGCATTTTCGGTGGGGTGTTTTTTGTATTAAATTAAATTTTATTTTATTTTATTTTTTTTAGGTTTCAACAATTTGGGGACTGAAATGATTAAGTATTAGAGCTTTTCTAGGATAATTGATGAGAAAATTTGTGAAGAATAAATTACGGAAGAAAATTTGGGAAGAATATACAAGTTGTGACAACTATATTTTAGATTTGTGAATGCAAACCAAGAATAATTTATATATTCATAATTGTTGTTTTGTTTTCGAGATGCGAACTTATTTGTACAAGTTCAAAAAAGAAATATTTGAAAGACAAGAAAAAAAAATAATAATAATTTATGATGTGTTGCAATATTACTATGTCTCTATAAATATATATAAAGTGGTTTATATGATAGCACATTATATCATATTTCATTTCTACACTTAAATTCTTCGACTTATTATTTTTTGTAATTTTAAGAAATTTTAAATGAAAATTTTTTTCCAAGGATTTTTTTTATCGCGTGCATTATGCACGTGCACTTTTGCTAGTATATAATAAATGTAGATACAGTTGTGAATAAACAAACAAAAATAGTGAAGAATGTGTACGTGACCTTCCCAATAAATAAAAAAAATGTACATGTTACATGAACAAGGTCAAGGCCAAGGCCCATTTCCATATTTTTTTTTTTTTTTTTTTTGACAATCGTGGGTATTCGGGTCAAGTTGCGTACACCTCGACTAATTTTACGAGACCCTAAAGTTAACGACCGGACAAACCTCCAGTGGCCCATTTCCTCATTTGGGCACTGTAACAATGTTTAACTAAATTTAAACTTTAAAGGCCATACAGTCTCTAACTTCTTAATAATAATTCGTGTGTATCACCACCCAAAAGGTTCATAAGAAAGCTATTGCCTATAATTTGTCACATATTAGTCACCCAAAAATTTTAAAAATAAAAATAGTAAATTCTAATCTTTATCGAAACATGTACTGGATGGCTTCAATTTTCTAATTTTTGATAACTGAAAATTAAAAAATTATAAAAAACTTATTTAGTTGACAATTTTTAAAAACAATTTTTAAAAATTTTCATTTAAAAATTTGTATTTTCAATCTTTTATAATTCTTTTTAAAAAAATTAATTTGTTGAGTCCTCATAGAATTTAAAAAATTGAAGCAATACATGATATGCAACACCAAATGTTCAATATAAAGAAATTGGATCATTTACTTTATTATATTTAGTAAAGACGACAAATCAAAATTTATGGTGAGATAATTTATTTTGAAATTTCGATTTATTATTATTGTTGAATAATGTTACAAAAATCCATCAATTTTTTTTAGTTATTTCAACAAAAAAACGTTAAACAAATTCTTATTATCAATTTTTAAAATAACAAAATCTTTTTTTCATGTACATTGTCTAATCACTAATTCTCACTATTAGAGTAACTACCAAAATGATTGGATCGGACCTAATGTTTTATTTTAAAATGTAACACGTTTTACTAAACAAATGCATATCCAGGCTTCTCAAACATATCTAGACTTTTTTTTCCAAACCTTCTCAAACGTTCTAGTGCTAAGCTGTTAGTTAATAGGTATGCATGGCTTCCACGTTTCGTTTCATGGTAGTACGTGTTGAAGCCTTGAGCACTTTAACTTCACTTTGGCAAAGAACCAATTTATTCTACTCAGAATTCTTCTAAAAAAAATTGATCTTTGGTCTTAAATCTTCATCATCGAGTATGTCTACCGCAACTACAGTTCAATCTTCACTACCAGGTAATTAGTATCCTTCATTTTAGTACATGTATATATATTTCTCTTTCCCTCTCACGTCTACTTTTTGCAGATACCATACTATGGAGGAGAAAGAAGCTAAGTTTGAGTCTCTTAATCGTGGCAACGGCAATATGGATAACGCTAGAAGTTTATCAGTTAAACTTCATCACTGTTGCTTCTTGGGTGGCTCTGTTTATTGTTACCTCCGCCTTCGTGTGGGGCAACTTTCTAAGGCTCTTAAACAAGTAATTAAGTTTCTAAATTCTATATTTTGTTACTCCTAACTAATAATTGTACTGAAATGAAAATGAAAGGTTTTTGAATTGGTTGCTTTCAGAGAGACTCCAGATATGTCTGGATTGGAAATCACAGAGGAGTCAGCTGTGGAAATGGCTCATACAATTCGAGAATGGGTCGGAAGAGGAGTGCAATGGATGTTGCGGGTGGGTGCTGAGGGAGACTGGTTTGTCTTTGCTCGAACAGTCGCTATGTTGTTGTTACTTTCTTATGTGGGACAACTCTATGACCTACTCACACTTCTCTACATAGGTAAGGAACATGTAGCCCGACTCTCTCTACATATGGTATACCGTTGGACCAACGAGTTATACTTTCTCTATATATACTATACTATTTCTCACCCCCTCATTATGGACCTTTTATTTTGGATATTTTGAAATTGATGAAGTAGCACTTGAATTCTCGAAGGTTACCTGGGATATTTTGGAATTAATTTCTGGAAGGTTGTTTTGGATATTTTGGAATTCTGAGTGGTTATTTTGGATATTTTGGGGTTGATGAATTCCTCATCTCCATATGTATAATAATATATTCATCCTGTGTTAAAATAGTTGTACTTATTTTTCTTTTTATGATTGTTTAAGAAGAATGTGCTATGTCCATATTAGAAAATAAAAGGGTTAATTTTGAAATTTCAAAAGCATACATTCATTATAAGTGCATTTATCCTAAACGGGATTTGAATCATAGTTTTGAAATTTACATTCCATTTAAATATATGGAATAATAATCCCAATTGGGTCAATTTAATTTGAGAGGAAGGTAATAATATATTTATATGAACCATTTTTGGTTTATGGTGTGTTAACAAATGTATATTTATAATGAATTTGTGGTTGTGGGCAGGGATTGTGGTGGGTATGACTGTACCTGTAATTTATGAGAAGTATGAAGACAAGTTTAAGGATTGTGTGGAGCGATTGAGGATGCAACGTGCAAGGTTTTATAGGATGATAGATGAGAAGGTTGTGAGGAAAGTGAAGAATAAAGGGGTAGGGGATCAACAAAAGAAAGAGAAGAAGACTGAATAGTGACTTATCTGCTTTGTAGAAAAAAATGGTTTTTTAATCTTCATGTTCTAAAAATGTTCTGTTGTCGGTTTGGTTTTATTGTGTGGTGTATAAAACTGCATAATCAATAAATTAATTTCTTGATCATGATTTATGTAAATAAATCAAATATGGTTCATTTAAACAAACGGTATTGAGCAATTATTAGTCTTCTCCCAATGCGTGTGACGTCACATAAAAGAATATCAAGAAGGTGAATATAAATAAATAAAAATTCATTTGCCGCTTAAAAATTTTATATTGTAAAAACAGTCTCACATCTCAAAAAAAAAAAAAAAAAACATATTATTATGAAGTGATAATATTACCAGCTGTCTATTTGGTAGAGCGAGGTGTGTGTATCCCTCCGGTAATGTGTAAGGATTAAAATATATATATATATATATATATATATATATATATATCAAAATTATGTAAAAACTGATGGGACCAACTCTCATACTCATTATTAAGTAATGTTATACCTTAAAATTAATAGCAAGTGGATCCGTGGCGCAATGGTAGCGCGTCTGACTCCAGATCAGAAGGTTGCGTGTTCGATTCACGTCGGGTTCAAAATCATTCTTTTGCAATTTTTTTTTTCGCTTAATAAATATGTATAAATGAAGTTGTATAATAGGCATTCAGTATTTTTTTTTTCGCATACCCAAATGAGACATTCAGTAATAAATGGATAGTCGAGACACTTTTAGCTAAAGGTCACCACACTTTTTAACTAAATTAAATGAGTTATAATCACATACCATATGAACAAAAGTGGAAAGTGAGGGCATACCCTCAAGAAGCATTCAGTAATAAATGGATAGTCAAGGCAGTTTTAGCTAAAGGTCATTTTACATCAACCCCACATATTTTTACTAAATTAAATGAGTTATAATCGGGTCGACTCACATACTGTATAAACACAACACATTTAGTTACCCAAACAATAAAAACTAACCCACCCACTTATCTCGTTGCCACCCTAATTCGGAAGAATGTAGAGTGGCTTTCCTGGCAACATCTCCACAATGTCATAATAATTCCTTTAAGTTACGAATGTAATGGCGTCAGTGATGGAAAGAAGAGATTTATGGTACATGCAGAGAATTAAGAACAGGTCATAGTATACAATAAACAAAAGGAGTCGAGGACTAAAGCAACTCACAGTAACTATAACACAACTGTCGTACAGAGTGAACATTTATACAACACTGGTATTTGAAAATAAAACAAACAAAACACTTTGCTAAATGCAAAATTGATAAACAAACCAGACTTTTTTCGAAATATGAACAAACCAGACTTCGAGCAACAAGTATGTGTGTGTGTTCTCACTGGAATTGACTTCCACATCCTCCCAACAACTTCCTTCTCTCTCCCTTTCCGTCCCTCCCAACAGAGCAGTGAAAAACTTCTCCTCCACAGAAGACTTTTAAGAACGTTATGTACTGGTATCACATGGCCATCTTCTACCTATTGATATTTGACTACAACTAAGGTAAGGTAATCTAATATGTATTCTACCACACACACTAAACTCGATTTTCACACAGCCATTAAGCCCAGATGGTTCAAAAGTTTACGGCCCAGAATGGTTCAAAAGTTGGTTCAGGAAGCTGGATAATCAGAAACCAGCAAACCCTACGCAAATTGAGACGGCAATCACGGCATGGCATAGATGATCTCCCCGCTGCTGTCAACATCAATATCAAGATCAGGATCATCAGAGTCCATATCATCCGGGTCCTCCATGTCGTCATCCATGTGGTTATTATAAAGGCTAACTGGTGGAACAGTGGCCTCAGATATTATTTGCATTATTATATCAGTGCTCTGCATGGGTTGATCAGGCTCTTCAAACTCGTTGCTCATCATCCTCTCATCCATGAGATCAGCTGGGAGGTTCTTTAGAAACCACTCGTGGTTTCTTATTTCAGGAATGGAAATCCTCTGTTGCATGTGTAAATCCAAAGGCATAAAGATTAGATAGTATATATATATATATATATATTTTTTTTTTTTTTTTTTTGGTAAATAAGCATATATTGAAGAAAGAATCAACAAAGCAACGCTAAACTTGGTAGACACAATACAAAGAGAACAAAAGCAAAGCTAACAAAAAAACCAAAGGCTGAGAAAGAACATTAACAAAGAAACAAAACAAGCAATAACCAAGCCAAAACAGCTCCTAAAGATGCATGTCAATCCATAACCAACTCCCAGAAGCACTAGCCTACATCCCTCTGCAGCAAAACCCAGCATAAATATTAGATAGCTACCAACCTAATTTAACCTAGTCAAGCTCAAAAGGAAAAGGGAAGAAATAATAATAATTCGCCAAGTTCACATAGAAAGTGAAGAGCATGGATCCAGAATTAGGGAGTCTGGAAGCAAATTCTGATGAATTCCCATGAAAAATCTACAGGTAGCTAGTATCCAATTCCCCATGCTATCTTCCACGCGCACAATTCTGCCCCTTTATGCAGCAGCTGATGCCTACAAGTAAAAAAGTACTGCCAACTTGAAAACAAAGACTTTTGGGGTTGAGAAATTCCGAGGAAACCTTGCACCAGATTTTCAATCTTGAATATTTTCTCCCAAAAAATCTGCTAATAGTGATTTTGGAGGCAACTAGAAGCCATTTTCCTATATATTGGTTTTTAAATCCCAATTATACAATTTCTAGCAGCTACGAGAAGTCATTTTCCTTTGTATTTATTTCAAAAAACACAAGGTCTTGAAACCATTTACAGAAAAAGGTATCAATTACGAATTAGAAACCTTTTTTATAATTAACATAAGATAGGCGAACCCATTATGACAACTACATTTTAAAAAAAAAAATCCAATTCAAAACAAAATGCAGAGATTATAAATATTAAGCAGTGTGCAGCAAGAAGGAAAGACACCTAACCTTTTCTTACAGACAATAGGAATGCCAGTTAAATATTTTTAAAAGAAAGAGAGAGAAAAAAAAAAAAAAAAAAAGATAGAAAAAACTTGTGTTCAAGTTCTTCAAAAGTGTTCAAGTTCTACAAAATTTATCTCTTGTTCAAGTTCTTCAAAATTCCTTTTTTTTTCTTAGAAAAAAAAAAAAAAAAAAAAGAAGACAAATTCAATAGAATCGCCAGAAGAGGTACAACTCAAGTCAAGTGAAACTACAAGGAAGAAAACACCATAACGAAACCAGCCCAAATTAACCAAAGCTCAGATCACAAGAACAGCATATAAAATCAGTATACAGAAGCAAGAAACCTGATGTTTCAAAGAAAAATGTTCCAGAAAGTAATGCTTAAGCTTGTACACTAACAATGCTACTCCTTCAAAAGTACTCCTAATCTCCAGCTTCCGAATGCAACATCCAGCAATGTCCAGGCATCACCAAACAACTCCAATGAAAACAAGCAAAGAGACATCTCAGTCAGAATGCACACCAAGATGATCCATTAACTCCTCATCTTACATGCACAACCTTTTTGAAGAAATTACTCCCCTCCTGACCATATTTTCCAACCACCTGAAGAGGGGAAAGAAATTGTTAAAAGAGAATTCAATCAGCCAACTCCCAACTCCCCTCCTGACCATATTTTCCGACCATCAGAGGGGAGAAAAATTGTTAAAAGATAACTCAATCACCCAACTTACAACTCTCTCTATTCAATCACTATCAAAAGATTATAAAAATTGTTACAAGAGAACTCAATCACCCAACTCTCAACTCTCTACCTGTGAAAAACTCTCTCTTCTTTGACTCACTCTTATTTCTTCTTCACTCTAGAGAGAATACTTATACCCAACTCTGTCAATCCACTTTGCCTTCACTTCTAATCTCCATCTCCTCCCAGAAGACCCCTGCTCTGTCTTTCCATACTTCCAATCATTTCAAAGAACCTCACCTTTCTCATTTTAAAATTGAAAAACACTCTCCATTCAGTCTCTTATAATCCTCCTTTGACCCCCCTTGTCTTTCTCACTTTGATAGTGCCAAATGTTCCCATTCCATCCCATACCATCCGCCTTTAGTCCCTCAAGTTCTTTATTAGAACAATATTAAGAGAGGTATGAAACCAAGACCTCTCCTGCCACAATCATACTTGTCCACAATATCTTACTTTTTTAGCCACATGTTTCAAACTAGACGTCCTTACTCCAACACAAGCTTCCAATATCCATCAAGATATACATTCATTCAACAGGAATTGATTATAAAGGATAATATTGTTTCATAAGCAAATTAGGGTCATACAAAACTCATGAACTTATAACTTAATGAAAGTCCACAAAACATTGCATCTAAAAGGTTATACAAGAGCTAGGAAGCACGGGACACGCCAAAATGGGCGAAGAATCCGTGTCCGACACGTGTCGGATACACCAAAAAACACGTATGGAATTTTTTAGTTTTTTTAATTTTCGAACATGGCACGGACACTCCGCGGAAAGCGTCCGACACGCATGTCTTATTTTCGGGGGTCTAAAAGATAATTTTTGAAAGAAAATTGGGTTAAAATATAAATATGTGAAGTTATTTAACAACTTTTACTCACTTATGTGGTCAGCACATAATAATTTTAAACTTATAAGGTATCAATACAGTATTACAGTAGATGAGTTATGATTTGTGTATTTTTTTTCATTATGAGGTTGATGAAAAATAGTAACACTCGGTAATTTTTAAGGTACTACATCATATATATATAATATATATATACTATTCACCGTGTCCCTGCCATGTCCGTGTCCTAATTTTTTTGGATTTGCCGTATCCGTGTCGTGTCGTATTCGTGCCCGTGCTTCTTAGTACAAGAGTAACCAATTTTTCAAGCTGTTGTATGTATAGCGTTGAATTTGAACATCTACAGAAATTACTAACCTGTGCAGGGTCTAGAACAAAGATGCTTGAGATAAGTTGGCGACATTCAGCAGATATTTGAATATTTTCCGGAATGCAATACTGGACATGTAAAATCCTCTGTAAAAATAAATAAATAAATAATTCAAGATTTTGGTACAACAACTCAAGAAACGGGTATTGATGTCACAATAAGTGCAACAAAGTACATTTATTGTCTTTCGGAAGTCCTTTGGTTCATTGGGGTCCTCAAAAGGATATGCACCAACCAGCATAACATATAATGTTACCCCACACGACCATACATCTGCAATCTGAAAATGCAGTAGTATATCAGATCCACAAGCCAACACCCTGAATTGTCATAACATCATTATACAACCAGGAACATGCACATTGTATATAATTCAACATAAAAAAGACACGCAGAATCTGAAATTTTGAGGGAGAGTCCTTCAAGCACATGCACATTTATATATAAACTGATCAGCTATTAATTCCATCAACAATGATACTGTAAAAAGGAAAAAGATTCTTGACTGCTAAATTCCATTAGGCCATCTCATTTATTTGCCAATGTTGAGGACAAAGATGACAAATCCAGAAGGCAACCAACAGAATATCTGGTTTTGGCCACAAAGGCTTCGGCCTCTGGAGGATGCACAGATAAGCTTTTCTTAATATCATGTTCAGAGTTCTCTGAGAACCATGTCAGTTGAAGATACTAACTTGGACTATCTGGCTACAACAAACAAACAATAAATGTTAGAAATTCAAACTCCTTTTAGGCACCACCTAATCAGACCCATCTAAGAAACTGGGTTCCTCCTCCAAAGCATGTCATGAACTAGCTCCTCCACTTCTGTCATCTGAGGTAAGGAAATAATGTAAAAGGAAATCTACAATTCGTGGCATCATTGCCTTAGATTGATTGTGCTTACAACTTTGTTATCCCTTTGGTTGAGCTTACAAACTATGTTTTGCCATCAAATAATTATTATTTCCTTAAAATTTATAGACTAATCATTAAAAATTTAGTACATAAGAAAAATAACTCATGCAGAGTATGAACACAAGCATCATTCCATAATCTCTTAATTGTGAACCATGAAAGTAGACAACAACAAATAAAAAATAGATGGGGGAAAAATCCAATGCTTGACTTTGCTATATTATTGACATTCTTGCCTTTTTATCTTCAATTTTTTTTGTTTATTTATTCATGTTTGCTATGAGATCGCCATATAAAAACTTAGGTACTTCGTCCAAATGATCCGGTAAAACATAATTAATTTGCACAGCAACAAAAAAACTAAATATACCACATGCGATTTATTCCAACTGCCTTCTTGCACTATTTATAAAGTTTGCCAGCGAATTATATCAACAAATTTATTAGACAATACATAAACATTATACATGTTTATTAAAATGTACCAAGTAAAAACATTCTCAGACTTCTCTCAATGGAGCTAGAGTTGTATCATGCAAGGGTATAATATAGTCAAAACAATTCATGAAATTAACTTGGAAACATAATAAATGATATCACCTTGCCATCATATTCTTGCCTAAGTAACACTTCTGGAGCAATGTATGCTGGAGTCCCCACTGTTGATTTCGGTTGTGAATGCAGCACAGAGGACTGAAAACCATACATAGTCAGTTATTATTTTTTTTTCTTCCTAGTTGGTACTCACACACACGTCTCTTCTGAGACTTGAACCCCTGACCTCCCTTTGGGAAGTAAGAGCCTAATACCGCTAGGCCACTGACCCGTTGGTCATACATAAAATAATTGATCCCCGAAAATGTATACGAAGAGAAGACTAAGAGCAAGTGTCTGATCAAGAATGATGTACACTGAGTATCAGTTCAATGACCAATTGGTAATATACAGGTGCTAAAGACAATAATGTTTCACAAAAAAGAAGTCTATTCCATCAAAACCAACAGAAAGAAAGACGGAGGGAGAGGGAGAGGGAGAGTCCCACTCCTACAAGTGCCTTGAAATATGTCAGATGACTCGGATCACAAATAGTTGTTCATTTGTTCGCACTAATCTATATCAGAAACATTTTATACTCAAATTAAGATACGATTTCAGGAAATATTTAAGCACATAAAAAGGAACCAAAGAGAACAAGTAAGAGAAAAACAGGAAATACCTTAGAGTACCCAAAATCACATATCTTCAAGCGAGGAGCAGGGCTGCCATCCAACAACGTATTTTCCAACTTCAAGTCCCGATGGCATACTTGCTTCATCAAGAAACATAATATGAAGAAGCGAAGTAAATTATCCAGTCCACATCACCAGAATCAGAATTTAACAAAATATATAAAATAAAATTCCAAATAGAAAGGATAAAAATACCATTGCATGACAATAGCTGACACCAGATATTAGTTGCTGAAAGAAGAAGCGAGCCTGCAGCAGAAACAGAGTACACCAAATCATATAAGTAACACAGCATTGGAGAACATATGTCAAACCATAAGCAGTAAATTAAAAACCTCATCCTCACTGAAGCGCCCTTTACTGCATATTCGCTCAAAAAGCTCTCCTCCAGATGCATATTCCATCACAATAGCTAAATGAGTTGGTGTCAGGATGACCTAGAGTACAAATTTCAGTAAAAAATAAGTTAATCAAGCCATAACTAATTTGATAATAAATGTCAAACCAGATTAGAAAGAAACGAATAAACCTCTTTAAACCTAACAATGTTGGGGTGCCTCAAAGACCTATGATTAATGATTTCCCTTTGAACATTTTCATCAATCTGCAACACAATGTGCAACACAATGTACCACACTGATGAGAAAGCAAAAAAATGGCCCCACAAAGATTCAAACTTCTCATTTAAAAAATAATCGTAAGTCAATTAGCCACTGTGTTTGAATCATGCACAATGTACACACACTCCTATAATATAACATGTTATGAATTGTAGACAACATTTATTCTTTTTCAATTGTGGGGCAATAGTTTGTGTTAGGACATCCTCTCGAATTCAAATGACCTTATTACAGGAATTTGAAAGTGAAACAAATAACCTAAGATAAGGTCATTTAATATGAGATAGAAAATGAGATTTAAATATACCATCTGGTATGATACGTTTTAGGTTTCCTCGAAAAGACACAATTCAAACTATAACATTATTAGCCTGATAGCTGCCATTTTCTATAATGGTTCAATTTAAGATAAACCATGGGCTGAATTCATGAAGGAAAAATAAATAATTGTCAGGATTTAACTGAGGATATGCCACAAAAAGTTGATTGGAGACAAACAATCCATGTAATTGAACCCAAGTACTTGGAATTAGGATTTTTTAATTGGATAATTCAAAATCCATGGGCCACCCTTAAAAAAGCAATAAGCAAGTAGAAAATCATATTATACCTCATAGCGTCAGCTTTTTTCCCCTTGTTTTGCAGCATTGACATAGACAATTATCCACAATTGGGCAGGGCATCTCCTTTTTTTTTGGTGGCCATAATACCAAAGCATTTTAAACCCCCTAACATCCTTAAGGCAAGTTGTAGGGAGGGCGGAGCGCATACAAACCTACCTTTTCTCTCACACTTCACAGGTGATAACCTAAGCATTTGCAAAATAGCGATAGAACCAATTGCCAAATGGTAATAACCATTCAAATTTTGTAAAATACTATATTTACCCTCAACTAAATCATTTCATAAGTAACAAACTTCAATTAAACTATGCAAATGTGTATATAAATATATATACACATATAAATGAATACATATGCTTTGTTTGGGTGCAAAACAAGTTGAGGAAAGAAAAAGATAAGAAAGAGAAAATGAATTCCAAACTCGTGCAATTTTTGTCACTTGGTTCCTAATAGAACCAACAAACTCAATGTAGCTGGTGTATTTAGAGGCGGCCTGATACAGCCACAGCCTTTTTTCCTGTGTGTGTGTGATTTCTCATTTATCATTTTGTGAGGAACCAATGCAAAGAAAGATATAGCCTTTGACTTATTTCGACATTATTTTCCTCCCCCTTCTAAGCAGCCAAACAAGCAAAAGGGTAACCATAGTTTTGCCAGTATTGTTGATGCATCAACTACACTTCTGGGTCACATAATTATTTGGAAGAACCAAAATTTTAAGTAAAAACAACTTCCCAGCAATAGAAGATGCACAACACCCAAATAGAAAAAAATAAAAATAAAAAAAAATAAAAAAAATGCTGGCCTGATAGAGCGAGAGCATTTGTGTGTGTGTGTGTTTTTTCATTTATCATTTTGTTTGGGTAACCAATGCAAAGAAAGATATAGGCTTTGAATTTCTTTGACATTTATTTTCCTCCCGTTTCTAAGCAGCCAAACAAGAAAAATAATAGCCATGGTTTTGCCAGTATTGTTGATGCATCAACTACACTTCTGGGTCACATAATTGTTTGGAAGAACCAAAATTTTAGGTTAAAAACAACTTCCGAGAAATAGAATGTGCACAACATCACCCAAATAGAAATAACGTCAAAAGTTCAATAAATTACACATACTTTCCAAATTTACACCCGCACCCACAATTTCCAGACAACAATAAATGTCTCCAAAATTGTAATAATAGCACACCATAACTAATTAATTCAGAAAATAATTAATACAGTTAGATTTCAGTAGTAATAAGCATACGAAAATAAAAAATAACTTCACAACTAACCTTGTCGCCTCTTTCGATGTATTTGACCGCAACGAGTTCTTTAGTCTGCTTATCTCTCATGAGTCGCGCTATGCCGAAATTGCCCGATCCAATATCTCGAACGAAATCGTACCGATCACTGTCGTGCATGATCGGCATCTCAAAACCATGTCCCGTCGTCGACCGTTCCATTAATCGTACTACCAAAAACTCCGATTACATTACAGAGCCGAAAAACGGCGACGCTTAATCGGCGATCGTGATCGATTCCGAACACTTGCAGGTGACCGAAAATGTAATAGTTCGGTTTTGCTGATCTGCTTTCGGAGTTCTCGCCGTTGATTATTTTAAATAAACAGGAGAGTGTCCAAAGGCGTTGCTTTTGTGGTTTTCCACTTTCTCTGTCTAGAATTCTAGAGAGAGAAGGAGATTTTTTTTCTGGTCGGCGACCGGTTTATATCTATCTGTGTGTGCGCCAGTCAGTGCAAGTGGGGCTTGGAGGAAGAGGAAGTGATGTTGACAAGGAAGAGGGGGGGAACAAGGAGCAGTCTAGCAGACGAATAAGAACGGTGTCGTTTGTCGTTAGTGGACGGTGTATACGACGGCGTTCTGAGGTAGATTCGTTGTGATCGACAATCCATTGGCTGCGTCTTTCGTCGCTCTTGTTAACCAATCGTGCTATTTTCGAATGACGGAAATACCCCTACTTCTGGATAAATTTAGCGCGAGTGGATGCATGGAATTGTTATTATTATTTTTCATGTATGTTATTTAATCGGTTTAATAGAGTACAGTTTTCTTAGAAACTTATGATTATTTGGTTTGCTAAAAAAAATAATAATAATAATAATTTTAAAACATTGAATAGGTATAACCATGGTTAGCTAAAAAGAAAAAGAGGAATGATAGGGGCATGAGAGTAATAACAATCCATTTTTGCTCGATTTGTGAATAATTATTGTTGGTCAAAAGTCAAAGCCTTGGTAACTAAGGAAGGTCGTTACTGACTGGAGTACAAACATTCAAGCTGTATTGCCAAATAAATAAATGAGGAACCCATTGCTGAAGAAAATGACTGTCTCCTCCTAAGGAGTACCAAGCACGTAGATGATAGATCTCTTCCGTTCGATGGTTTCTGAGTCGGGCCCACACCTTTGTCAACGGTCATCCCAAATTCCCAATTCGGGAATATGATCAGAGCCGTTGATGTTTGGTTGTTGATGATCACAAGGTGAAAAATTCTGATGGACCCTGATCATAAGCCCATCTCCATCATAACCCACTCAAAAGGTGCCCCTTTGTTTTTTTCTTTTCTTTTTTTTTAAGATTCAGGTGACCATGATTCTCTATCAACGTCCCTTTAATTTCTAGTAGTTGTAGGTAGTAGTAACATTTTACTTCTGTTCTGTCTTTTGGGGCAAAAAGGAAAAGCAAATAAAAAGTCCAATTTCAGTCTTTGAATGTATATATATAAGCAAGCAAACGGATAATGTTTAAAGGCGATAAATGCGATGAATAAGACCTGGGAAGTTCACGTCTTTTTTCTAAAAAAACAAAAATATCCCACTCACATCCAAATTGAATTTGATGTATTTATGGTCCCTATTATGAGTCTCTCTCGCCGATTCTCTGCTTTTACATTTGGGCACTTTTGAACACTTCTTGTGGAAGCAGTGTCGGTGTTACTTCAGCGATAAGCATGTACTGTTCGGAATTTTTGATCCGTGTTTAAAACTCATCAGCATTAATTTTTTTTTTTTCTATCATTTAACTCTCTAATCTCACTAACCATTTCCAAGTTAAAAAAAAAAAAACATTTATTGTGTAAAGTTGTACAAGAAAAAATTTTAAATTACATCTTCAAAATTGATATATTAAAATTAGAATAGAAGAAAAATTAGTTCAGAAATGAATGAATAAATGGCGTGTATGTCTCATTTAATGGATTATTATTGGATACTCTTATTCTAAAGTTAATTTTCAAATTTTGATAAACTAATTTCAGTTTAGAATTGGTTGTGAGATGACTTGTATATAAGATTTGGTAAACATTAGTTTTACATAATATTGATGCAAAAAAAAAAATTGGGTAGGACTTGGGAAAGTCTAATGAAATGAGGGGAAAAAAAAGATTTTAATATAATTTGATGAACTTGATGGTGTAAATTACCTAATATAGTGTTTTTCATCTTCAAAAGGTTGTCGGCAAAATTAAAATGAAATGAAAATTATTGTAAATGATTTTAAAATTTTAAACATGTAAAACTGACTTAGTGAGTTAGCGACTTGTAATTGAAATAATAATAATAATAACAACAACAACATAGTTCATGTAATTCACTCCATTTGTATGGGATAGAAAGATGATCTTCTGAATTATTAGTTCATCATACCTAATAAAAAATAAAAATAAATCAATGGGGACCTATTTACATGTGTTAATCTTATTGTATTATTTATTTAAATGAGATTGTGGCCAACTAAACCAAGGTGAAAAATAAATAATTTTGCTTGACATTAAAATTTTGATAGTCAAGACTCAAGAGTAAGTTTGGGATTGTCATTTCATAATGATTCCTTGTCAATTGTTCTTATATCTTCTTATTTATTCTGAACATCTTTTTAAAATATGATTTAGGTCACATTTTATTTATAGAAAAACAAATTTTACTTACTGTTTTTTTTTTTTCTTTTGAAATATGATTCATGGGCCCAAAGTCCAATTGAAGCGTTGGGCCGAATGGACTGAAAGAGGAGATATTTATAAAGTTTTTATTTAAATTATACTCCATTTTGTCTTTTTATATTTAAAATTTTGAAGTCATTTCAATTCCAATTACGGTTAATAAAGCATTTATATATAGAGTAAGATTAGTGATATAGTTATTAAAATTATATATCAAATAAAATGGGTCAATCTAAATTGGTTGGTCAAATGACATCACAAGTGAAATCTATACAAACCCTTACTGAAGATACAAGAAACTCCTTCTATTCTTTCTCTCTCTAGAATTCTTACACCTCAACCCGAATCAAGATCCCCCTCCTCTTCATTCCAACTCCTATTTATAGATACTTACCAGATATTTACAAGATATTTACAAGATATTTACTAATTGCTGGACCTGGGCCTATTCCTCAGTAAGCCCTGGTCACTCTTGATGGGCTTACTCCCGCTCGGCCCATATGGCAGTGTCTTTCTATGGGCTGACCCAGCTGTTCGGACTGAAGGTTGTGTTTTGCGAGTCGGACCTGGCCCATGTCATCCAGGGCCTCCTCAACTGCCCCCATAATTGCCCCTTATTTAATAAGGGGTAATTATTGATGGCGTCTCATCATGACGCTGACGGCTCGAGATAACCACGTGGGGGAGCGAACGGTCAGATCCAGAATCAATGTTCCGGGGTTCGAGGGATTTCTTGCATTCCCGACGCTTCGGCCCTCGGGCCCCCTTGCCTATATAATGCTCTAGAATTCCACTTCACTTCCCTTTACCGTCTCCATCATCAGCCAAATCTCCCTCTTTCTAGAACTGTGCTAAGCCTTTTCCGGTGAAATCCTTCGAGAGTCATTCTCCCAGCGATCTTGCAGTCCTCCGAGGTTAGTTTCGTTCTTTTTACTTTCGGCAGGCTTCCATTTTCCCTCTTTTAGATTCTTCTTGCACTTCCACCATGGTTGTAGATCTGGGTGTTCTTCGTATGAGACTTAGACTTCCTGACAACATCGTAGTTAGGGTTTGCCCCCAAGACGTTAATATTACGACCGGCGCCGGCCTCCTGCCCGGCGAAGTCTTATTCACAAACCTTCAACTGAATGTTGTTAGGTTCCCTCTGCACCCTTTCTTTAGTTACGTCTTCAACAGATTGGGGATATCCCCTCTGCAGGTCAACCCCAACTTCTTTAGGATCATATCTGTTATGCTCTTATTGATGCGTGACAGAAATCTGGACCTTGACCTCATAGACCTCCTTCTGTGCTATAAGGTCAGTAAGATCCGTACTAACGAGCCCTTCTACCACCTCTACCCGTTCGAGAAGATGTCCATATGCACTGACACAATAAAATCTGAAAAGGGTTGGAGGGATAGCATAGTGGGTATTAGTGGGGCTTGGTCTTCGCCGGCTGCAGAGGATTACCCAATCCCGAGCGCCTTTGGTGTCTGCTCTGTCTCCTCCTATAAAAAATTCAAATCCCATAAACACGACTGCCCCTGTGAAACATGCGTTCCTCGTTTTTGCACTTACTTATGCCGCTCCTTGGGAATACCTTGTGATGACTTGAGCTACAGTGTTTGCAGGGATAGGATTAACTACTTGAAGAGATACGTTCTGAACGATATTCCTTCCTGCTCAGATCTCCTCACTTCAGACAACCTCTTTGCACTCTCATCACTCGGCTACAATATGAGCAGACTGCAGATTCCCTCTTTTGGCAGGAGGAAAAATACTCCCCCAGTCATTCCTGCTGCTGGGGCGACCTCCTCTCCAGCGTCGGCTTCTTCTTCAGCCACCATATCTGACACTGTCCCGAGCGCAGTGGCTACTAACCCTGCTGCCAGCGCCCCTGCGGCCAACCAGAACGCGCCCTCCCCAGCTACCATAGCTCCTGCTGCTGCGGGGGGCGGTCGGGACAAAGAGCGAGGCAAAAGGCCTCATCCCGACAGTGAAATCGACCCTGAGGAGGAGCCTCTTATTAGAAGGACCCGAGTCTCTGGGCCGGGTACTCTCTTGCACCGAGCGATCAGAGCTCCTTCTCACTCTGGGCCTCCTGCAGCTGGTGGCTCTGCTTCTGCTTCAGGCCCCCCTTCTATCCCCAGCTTGCCGCCATGGGCCCCTCGGTACACTCGAACGGATGGGACGTTCGTGAAACCGAACGAGACCATGCTGAAGGATGGCCAGACCGCTATGGCCTACTACAGGAGCATGTGGACTCCGAAGGACATTGAGGCGGCAAAGGGCCTTTCCCAGAAGGATGTGTTCAGTCGCTTTCCCCAATCTGCTATGGAGGTGACTTTTATTTTCTAACTCATGAATTCTCTTATATTACTTGGTCTTGCCTTCGCCCGTTCTGACTATTGGTTTAACCGTTCTTATTGTGCACCTATGCAGACATTGTTCGGGATGATGGCCATGCAGAAGCAGGTGGAAATGGGGAACGCCAGGGCCCGGAAGTATTCTGACAGCCTGGAGGTGGCTAATAAAGAGAACGACCTCCTTGCCATGAAGAATACCGAGGTGCTGGTTCGGCTTGACAAAGCCGAGCAAGAGAGAGATGTCCTGAAAAAGGAGAATGATTCCCTTCAGGATGAGAAGGACGCCCTCCAGCTCGAGAAGAGCGTCTGGCAGACTGAGCAGGAATCACTCAGAGAAGAGAAGGCAGAACTCCAACGTCTTCTAGCTGATGAACAGTCTGCTCGGATGGCTTTTGAAAAAAGAGCTCTGGACGAGCGTACCGCTCTGATCGACGCTATCAGCAGAGTGAGTGGTAGGATGCTGGCCCTTCATGCT